AAATAATAAAATAAAATAAAAAAATATTTTAAAAAAATTCAGAGGTAGAATTGATAAAAAAGAATCATGGGGAACAGCCCATTTTCTGAAGCTCAATACATTACACTAATTAAGGAATTACTTAAGAGCTCAGGGGTAAAAGTAAGAGAAAAGTAATTTTTGCAGTTGTTTCAGTATGTATAGTGACATTACGGGTTAAAGCCAGTGGGTGGAGCGTGGTCAAATTTTAAAACTTGGTATAATGTTATACCAAGAGAGATTTACGAATAGCACATAAAGAACAAACTCCTATTGAATTTTAGCCAGTATGGACTTTAATAAGAATAGTAACTGTTTGTGTTGATTGTTTTAAGTTTGTTATTGTTGTTTGTTGTCTTATTAGGTTTAATGTAATAATAGTACTTTGAGCTCATACCATTTGATAATTTCAGTGAAATATGAAAAGTCAGAGACTGAAGCTAACTTAAGAGAAAAATCTTGATTTGGAAGATGAAGTAAGCAAAGAATAAGTTCTAAAAGTTGATAAATAAATTTAAAAGCTGCAGCTGAAAAACTTTTTAACATGGATAAAAATCTCTGAATTAGTAAAAACTTTTAAAAAATAGACTGCATTTGAAAGATGGCTAGTTTTTCTTTATTTTTGGTAGTCCAGAATGCCAACAATAAAGAGACAACCAATCTTTCACAGTTGCATAGATAGATGAGCTAGAAGTTCAGAAGCAGATAAAAGAGAAAATGCAACTTAGTTCTCAGAGTGGATATAAAGAGAAAAGTTACACCGTCTATTGACTACCTGTGAAATCCAAAAAGTTAGACTTTCTTAAATGCTAAGAAACAAAGCTGTTTAAAAAAAAACTTTAAATTTGTCCCAAACTTAAATGTTACAATTGTGGAAATCAGGACATTTGGAAAGAGACTGTCAGAAAGAAAGAAGGGAGAGTAAAAAATTCAGGCTTTCAATGGGCCACTGCTTTACCAGGAGAAAAATCAGAGTATGTAATCCAACATTTAATTGAAACTTTTAATGTGATGGGCCTTCCATCAAGTATTAAAACCGATAATGCTCCTGCTTATAATTCTAAGAAAACACAAGAGTTTCTTAAAAAATGGAACATTAATCACATTACTGGTATTCCATATAACCCCCAAGGACAAGCTATATAATAGAAAGGGCTAATTTAACATTACAAACTATGTTGAGAAAACAGAAGGGGGGAGATGGGGTATCATCTCCTCAAACTCTCTTACAAAAAGCCTTATTTACTTTAAATTTTTTAAATGCTAATGAAAAAGGAGAAACTCCAGCTGAAAGACATTGGGTATTACAATCCTCTAAAGAACTGAATCAGCCTATATATTATAAGGAACCTCTAACTAATGAATGGAAAAAGGGATTTGTAATTAGGTGGGGGTGAGGATTTGCTTATATCTCTACAGGATCA